GCTTTCCAACAGTGGTAGAAAGATTCTGTAGACCTCAGAGCCTGGTTCACTCCACAGCGGAAAAAGTTACCTAGCCAGCCCCTGGGGCATGAGGTAGGGTTGTCAGGGTCTATGAAATTCTATGAAAGGAGGCGCTATCATGCCCCTACACTGGTGATCACAGGTGGTGCTGGTGGCCTTCCAAAAGTTTTGACACCGGCTGTTTATTGGGGTTCAGCTAGCCTGAGGTCATATCAAGAGAGATTACATGCTTCAGGCAGACTTCAGAGAGTAGAAATGAGAATATGTGTGATGAGGAAGTGATTTCTTTTGGCTGAAAATACCCAAAGAATTTCAATATTGTCCCAATGCTTACCTGACCCAACAGAACAACCCATATTTTCTGGGTACCTCACACCCCTAGCTTCTGCATTCAGTATCAACATCCTCCCAAAGGTTGTGTTGTTCAGATTACTTTTATCATCATGGCAAAATCCAAACTTACTTCCTGAGAAGTTGCTGGTAGATCACTTCAGAACTTTCTGTTCTGTTCTTCTGGTCATTCTTTCATCAGATTGCTTTTTTGCTAGCAAGTTATACGAGTTCCTATATTTTTAAAAAAGATTATTTATTATGCTTACAGAACTGGGGCACAGGCCAGAGGTACAGGGACAGTGAGAAGCTTCACCAGAGACAGAGTGGGAAGCAGAACAGACAGATTGACAAAGTACACTGCTTAGGGGAGCAGCAGGTGGGTCAGGAGAGGTCTGCCATTCCATGTGGGTCATCTCCCTGGTCAGGGATAAAACTTCGTGCTGCAGTGGCTTCCAAGAGCTTCATAATGCAGTGCTTTAACCTGTTACACCACCAGAGAGAGCCCAAGTTCCTATATTTTTAATATTAACCCCTTACCAGATATTTGAGTTGAAAATATTTTTTCCCACACAGTAGGTCACCTTTTCATTTTGTTAATTGTTCCCTTGCTCTGCAGAAACTTTTTTTTATATAATAGTTTATTTTTATATATTTTTGTGCATTTTTCCATCTCAGTTGCAATCCCCTTGGGTTTCCCATCACCAAATCACCCATATGCCATCACCATAGTCCAGCGCATTTCCCTCCCCACCACTGTTTGTGATCCCATTCCCCACTCCACCCCCACAAAATGTCTCGGGTATATAGCTGTTCATCATTATTATTATTTTCTCGCCTGTTTCGTTATATTCCTGCTATGAGTGAAACCATCCAGTATTTTCCCTTTTCTTTCTGGCTTATTTCACTAAGCATGATCTTTTCCAGCTCCATCCATGTTGCTGCAAAAGACAAGTGTTTCTTTTTTTTTCTTTTTTTTTTTGGTTGCTGAGTAATATTCCATTGTGTATATGTACCACATCTTTTTAATCCAGTCATCCATTTTTGGACATTTGGGCTGTTCCCATGTCTTTCCAATTGTGAATAAAGCAGCATCAAACATGGAGGTGTAGGTATCTTTTTGAATCAGTGTTTTTGTGTCCTTTGGGTAGATACCTAGGAGTGGGATTGCTGGGTCATAGGGAAGCTCCGTGTTTAGCAGTTTGAGGAGTCTCCAAACAGTTTTCCATAGTGGTTGTACTAGTTTGCATTCCCACCAGCAGTATAGGAGAGTTCCTTTTTCTCCACATCCTCATCAACATTTGTTGTTGTTAGTTGTTTGAAGATGTGCCATTCTCACTGGGGTGAGGTGGTTTCTCATTGTGGTTTTAATTTGCATCTCCCTTATTACAAGTGATGTTGAACATTTTTTCATATGCTTGTTGGCCATCGCTCTGCAGAAACTTTTTAAGGTGATGTAGTCCCTGCACTGGTTTATTTCTGTTCTTGCTCCTTTCACTTTTGTCGACAGACCCCAAAACAATCATTGCCAAGACCAACAGCAAGGAGCTAATCATTTTCTTGTATAAATCTTAAGGTTTCAATCTTAGTCCATTTCAAGTTTATTTGTGCATAGGGTGTGAGATAGTGGCCTAGTTTTGCAAGTGACTGTCCAGGTTTTCCAGCACTACTTATTGAAGGAAGTAGAAGGCTTTCCCCATTGTATGCTCTTGGATTTTTGGTCATAAGTTAATTGTGAATTTATTTCCAGAGTTTTTAGTCTGTTCTTTGGTCGATGTGTCTATTTTTCTATGCGAAATATGTGTTTTGATAGTGTTTTGGGGTCACCTCAAGGCATTAAAAACAGTATACAGGCAAGATCATCTACTGTTCAAAACATTTATTAGTAATTGTTGTTAGAGAATTGTGTCCTCTTTTGTCCCAGGTGCCCAGCAGTAGTAATCATCAAGTAGGTCCCACATGCGTGATGGTTCCCACTGATATATGGAGGCCAAGGTTTGAACTAAGCAAGGAAATCGAATCTCTTGGTTAAAGTCTTTTCCCAAAATCTCTCCCTCACTTATCTTTGGTATTTCAGTGATTGACAAACAGACAAAAAATATATTTATTTAGGGATTATCTATATTGAAAACTAGGCAAGGGATCTTTTTCTCTGTCAACATTGCAGTAATATCAGCTGTTTGAACAAAAGAAGAGGTATTTTTCCATTCAATCCTGAATGCCAAAAATTCTCCAGTTTATATTCAGGAAGATATTTGATTTTATTGATCGTGTTAGCTGAATAAGTTTAAACTTCTATAGCCAGGCAAGAAGAAGGTTGATTTTCTCTTTATTGTAAAGGTTATTAGGAGGAAACCAGATATAGAAATTATTTGTCTTTAGACAATCCCTGTGAATCAAAACCATTCAAATATGTCCCAGAAGTTTTGTTTAAAGCCAGTACTTGGAAGGCACAAAGTACAATGAAGTCTCTTCTAGGAATACTAATTGCCTTTTGTCCAAGACTTGGCTTATTCCAAGAAAGTGTTTTGTTATCAGTGAGGGAAATGTCCATTTTCCTGCTTTTAACTGATAAAATGATAAAATTCATTAACTGTCTGAGAAATCAGAAGACACCACAAAGGTTGTCTGCACCCAAAATCCTTTGTCATCAGTGGCAGCTCATCAATGAAACTGCAAGCCTATATTGCAAGAAAATTTGCTTTCTCCAAAGCATCAATATAAGAAAACCTACAGGTGGGTCAAAACTAGACACTTAAAAAGGAATATTGAACTTTTATCATGAAATCGATTTATAATTAAGCTTGCTTTTTTTTTTTTTAATTCCTGGCATACCTTCCCAAGTTCTACATATCTATAAAGAAGGTCTCCAAAATACAAAATAAGGGAGACTTGGTTGAGTTTTTCCTACCTTTTGGTAATTTTGGCTCAGATTTCAGAGGAAGCGGTGCACTCAAAAACACCAGCAGTTTTCCCTCCAGGAACAGCTCAGACCAAAGTGCCCCTCTCCTGGGCTAGTGGCGGTTGCAGGGAGCCTCAGTGAACAGCGAGGAAAGGCAGCCTCCCGGGGGGCCCTCAGCTGACTTACCAGTTTCCTATGCAGAAAATAAAAGTAATAACATTACTTCCATGTGGGGCACCTCTGAAAATCAGGAATAAATACTCGCACTGCTTGCAGAAATCTTCTCTCCTTCAGAACTTTGACATTTACTCTCTGGCAAACTTATGTATATCCAAAGGAAAGCCCTCTCACTCCTTTCTGAGAGAAATGGCATCACTTACAGGAATGACCACAATTATTTTTTAAGTGAAGTTATGCAAATCTGATAGACTAAAGTAAATGTTTCATAAAACCAATGACTGTTTAAATTGTAGGACTAAATTGTTTGTATATAAATATTACCTTTTATATTCCATTTGAGTTTTATGTAGATGAGCACATTACTTTAATGACCTACGTTTACAGAGGGAGCCTGAGAGAGTGACTCTCAGTCCTCACCAGCCAGATGGCTGCCTCTTCTTGCATGAGATTAAAAGATGTTTCTCATTCGCCGCGATGCTTCGGAGGCAAATTAATATCGCCAGCTAAATTGCTTGTGTTTTTGGAATAAAATTTAAAGAGAACTTTTTAAAGCAATAGGTGTCATCGGTTCTGGGAGCAGATTGCTCAGCAGGTAGGGCATGCTGGTTTAAACATTCAGTAATTAATGGAAAGAATTCTATGGTAATTGCCTGCTTCAGGAAAGAGAAATATAATGATTCCTTATTAATCATGAAAAGAAATGTACAGCATGGAGGCACCACAATAATTGCTCTAGCAGTGGAGAAATGTTAATTAATGAAAAGAACAATGATGTAAGAAATTAGCAGCATAATGCTTGCTGCTGATGGAAGTTGGGTCTTAAAATGTTATTTAGACTAGAACTATAAAATGTTGCTTTAAGAAACAGACATGTATAACGTTTTACCACCTAAATTTAGGAGCAAAATATCTTAAAATGCTCCTGTCATCTTTGCATACAGAAGTGAACACTCACCCAGAGCTATATTTATTCCAAAGAAAATGGCCTTGTCCTTCATCTCTGATCTAGGCTTCTAAAATCAAAATCATCCCCAGAGCAAAGCAAGGTCATTTATTAGTGTCATCTAATTTCAACACAATAGGTCATTCTGACTGCCGAGGACAAAGGGGTGGAAGGGAGGATATTGCCCTACTCTGAAATAAACAAACGCAATTTCTGATATTTCCCAGCTAATATAAAGAAAAATTCAGATTCATTATGGGGGCAATCTTTTTTTTTTTATCTAATTTTAAGTCCTTGAGAGAATACGCAGCTTCCACTCCATCTAACAACTCATTTTCCGGGAAGGGACGCTAAGCGCACTGACATGCAATGCCACTGTCAGAGCCCTCCGACAGCACTTAGCTCCAGTCACCAGGGCCACAAGGCCAAGGCCGTGATCACACTGACGTATCCACTTGTCCAGGCTCCCCCACCCACCCTTCCCATCAGAATGTATGATGGGGAACGGAGCATCTGGAGCTGGGTGAGGGAATAAGGTGGGGGGGTGGGGGTTGCACAACGAGCCACGTCAGCCTGCCCCAACACTGGTGAGCAAATCCCCATCTCCTCCCTCTGCCCTCGCAGGTGGAATGTGCTGGGGCTGCAAGGCGCTCTCCTCTGCCACTTCATCGAGCCTGTGTACCTGCACAGCATCATCGTGGGCAGTCTGCACCACACCGGCCACCTGTCCCGGGTCATGAGCCACAGGACAGAGGATATCGGCCAGCTGCCAACCTCGTACCGGCACAACCGGCCTCTCCTCAGTGGTAAGACATCTCCAACCCCAAAGAACATTCCCTTCCAGCAGCAGGCAGGCAGCGGGCCCCAAATGAACACCTGGGGATGCATTTTACCCTTTTCTGGCCAATGGTTACTTAAGACTTAGGGAGAAAGATTATGGCAACCAAAGACTTAAAAAGTTAAAACAAAACTTACAGTGCATCTCTGCTACAAGCGATATTTTAGACTAGGAAGCCATGTACAATTTCAACTTCAATATCTGAAGGGCCCCAAAGAAATAAAGACTAGGAATCATGAGTGGGTCTGACAGGGCAACTTAGGTTTCTGCTTCACAAGACTTGTTTCTGATGGAGCTGGGAGTAAGGAATAAGCAATAGGAATGGGATGGCTCCAAGTTCCCAAGTCCCGGGAGGGTTCCTGTGCTCTTTGCTCAGGTCCTGGAGGCCAAAAACAAGCATGGGAAGCACATTTCAGAGACAGGAAGTGACCCAGCAGGCCTGAGCAGGGAGCAAGACCCAGAGTCCACTCCTAGCCTGTATCTGTGTTCTTGGGAACTGTGGCACCCAACCCCATGAGAAAACGGGATGGCCACCTGGAGCCGCTGGCACACCTGGACCAGTCCTAAGTCCCCAACGCCCACCGACAGCAGCTACTGGCCTTTCTCATAAGAACAGTTTCCAACTTCTTGGGAAATGCCAGAAGCAGGAAGGTGACTGTGAGTCTATCCCCTAAACTTCCCAAACTTGAGCAGGAGGCTCTCCAAAGGGATGGGAACTGTGTGGGTGATGCTGCCCATCTGGCCAAGTCTTGGCCCACAGCATCTGAAAGAGTAAATAGAAAGATAAAGAAACTATTTTTCCTGTTGTGGCTAAAGAGTTGGGCCTAAGACTTCCTCCCAGAGTTCTAAGTGTTCTAAATTATAAAATCAGAGGTGATAATATACTCCGTGGGGGTAAGTGTGAGAACTAAACAGGAATAATTCATGAACAGTACTTAATTATGCTTAGCAAGTATTCAAGAAAAAAAAAATCTCCTTTAACAAAAGTGAGCCATCTATTCATTTGTTCTACAATATTCACCAGTTAAATTAAGATAGAATCTCCTCTGCGAAGTGTGATGACAAACAGGTCACAGAGACCAAAGTTCAGATAGGGAGGGTGAAGAGGAGTCTGCCCAGCGCTGGGACAGGCCATCACTAAGTGCCAGACTGCCTACTATTGCTAGACCCTTTTGCTGGGCTCCCAAGGCTCTTTGCCAAGAATCCCTGTTTTGTTAGTGAGGGAAAAAGAGGTTTTGGATATTTGGACAGTGGATTCAAAACCAACTTGTGCTTCAGATTTGTCTCAAGTCCATGGGACCATGTTAAATTCTAGTGAGGGGGATGGTGAGGCCATTTGAAGGGGGAAGCAGTCCCTCCAGAGACACTCTGTTATTTGTTTACCCTTCAGTTTTCTGACTGTTACTCAGGGCCAAATGTTGTTGAGGGTGGTGCCTTCACCACTGTCCTGGGTTAGGTTAATGAGCTCATTGACAGGCTTCCTTCACTGCTGTCCTTACCATGAAAGGCTGTTTTTGGACCTGATCTGGGTTGCATGGTTCCAGGCCAAAACCATTCAGATAATTGGCAGTGATCATACTATGGTGGTTTTCCCGGGTGGGGCTGCCCCAAACAGGTTTTCTATGTGGACAAAATACATGAATCTCCTGAGAAGGGAACAAATGCTGGCTGCCCATTCCCACTCCATGGCCAGTACACGGCACGAATCATCCATCACACCAGCCAAAACACTGTGGTCTCCATTCTACAGATATGAACGCAGGCTCAGAAAGTCAATAACGTGCTAAAATGCTCTATTTGTCAATATGAAGCAAGGATTTGAACTGCTGACTCATCTGTTGTCAAGTGAGGAAATGAAATATTTGCCTTAAATTCAAAGCCTATAAAATTACATTTCTTTTCTCAAAGTATATTTCTCGAATTATAGTTTGGGCTCAACTTCAACCTCTTTTTTTCTTCTTTTTATTTTCGTCTCATGCTTTATTCAAAAAAGTCAAAATTATTTACTTCCTAATGTTGAACAGTAAAATTAGCTCCCAATTAACCCCCAAAATTAGCTCCCAATTAACCCCCAAAAGACCTCAATTTACTGATTTGAAGCTAAAAGCAAATGTTCCTATATTCAGTATCCAAAAAGCTTCTGTAAAGTTTCTAGGTTTCTGAGCTAAGAAAATTCCATCTACTTGATGAGTGTCAAATGATATCTTTTTCCAAGCCTCTAGCTCCTTGGATTGTCCTCTTTATTCCATGTTCATCTACTAGTGAGGAATTTATTTAAATTTATTTATTTTGCACAAGGAAGCAAAATATACAGAGACTGGTATTTCCCTATACTTCAGCACATGGCATCCACTTTCTAGTCAATGTTCTTTTAAAATTGTATGCTCAACTAGGAACATGTAAACATAAATAAAAACAAGAATTTTAAATAAGTGTAAAAGCTATGGAAAAAAAAAAGAAACAGAGCTTCAGAATCACCTTAAATCATCAGGTTTTCATAACAATGGCAAAATGTCTGAGATTCTTGGGTGCTGAGCTCCACACCCCAGGTGACACCCACCCCACCACAGCTGAAACAATCTGACCAAATATTCTGGACTATCCCTACATGCTTATTTAAATGATTTATACTATTGTAGAGATGCATTAAACCTAAACCTTCATGTCTCGTCTGCTTGCAGTGCTGCATTGCTACTGATAGACATTTAAAAGCCAGTCATTCAAATTCTAAAAGGAAATCATCAGGACTTTGTGCAACAAAAACAGGAAAAGAAAGCAACACAGTAATAAGGTGATAACAGAAATCACACTCCAACAAGTATATGAAGTCTGTTTGTAGAGTTTCTCAAGGTCAACAGGGTTGCCTTGGAAGATGAAGTTCTTGTGTTAGTAATAGTCTGCCATTCAGAGAGGGCGTAGTCAGTTCTGGGTTACAAGCTGTCAAGCTTGAAGAGATACCCATGGACACCAGTATAGCATGCAAATTAATAGTATCAAAATATACACGAACTCTTTGCACAGAACAGGCTAAAGCTATCAGCTTGAACAAAGTCCACATCACAGCCATCACACATCTCAAATCCTTGAACAAAAGTTGCACAGTGATTAAGAACAACCACCCTAAAAAACTGCCTTTTGGTCTTTCTCAGTGTATTCAAGAAGTTGTAAAGTGGTGACAATAATGATTAACAAAAATCTGAACATTGACTACTCATGTTGTAAATGTAAAATGAAATAAAAAGTAACTTTGAAAGCTTGTTCTATAAAGCTAAGAAATAATTTGCCTGAGTTTTCAGCCATAAGCTAGATTTCTATTTTTCTTCATCAGGAAAAAAATCACAACAAACAGGAAAGTCTGGTTAAGATAGAGAAATTCTTTGTGGTTGTTAATGGTGTGTCTAACAGATATTTTTTTTTCAATGTTGAACCTTCTTAGTCCACACTGAATATAAAAATTATGATTAGGTTTACAGCCCATGGCAAGGTCTTGGCAATGAAAATGAAATTTGAGAAATGGGTCAAGAGAATTGAATTTTAGAACCATGCTATATTGGACTTCTGGTTACAGTATCAGCGATCACTAGAAAAGAGCATTGGTTGTCTTTCTTGGTAGGATATATTTGCATGAAATAGTAAGATCACTAGCTGGTTTATCAGACACATTTTCAGGCTTCCCTTTTTCATCAACACCTGACTTTATCAAAAAGAGCTTGATACTTACTGAAATATGCACCAACAGCCACCTAAAACTCTGCCTCACCCCACTTACCTCTTTTAAGGGAATAGGATGAGCAGGACCAGTCAAGGAGCTCCACTGCTATTTATATTCATTATTTGTGTGTGAATATTGGCATGCTATGCTGTAGAATACAGAGTATCAATCCCCTTTAAATCAGGAGGAATTTCTGAAATTAATAACCATTAAAAATATCTCTCAGGGCCCTCCCTGGTGGCACAGCGGGTTAAAGCACAGCACTGAGAATCTAAAGCTGCTTCCACATGAGTTCGATTCCCGCCTGCCAGGAAGGTGACCACATGGTGTGGCAGACCTCTCCTGACCCACCCGCTGCTCCCCTCAGCAGTGTACTTCGTCAATCTGCCTGTTCTGTTCCCCACTCTGTCTCTGGTGAAGCCTCTCACCGCCCCTGAGCCTCTGGCCTGTACCCCAGTTCTGTATGCACAAATAAATAAATCTTTAAAAAAAAAATCTCTCTCAGCCCTCCCTGATGGCACAGCAGGTTGGAGCACAGCACTGTGAAGCTGGTGTCTGCCACTTCAGTGTGAGTTCAATCCCCAGCCCAGAGGTGATCCATATGGTGAGGCAGACCTCTCCTGGCCCACCCGCTGCTCCCCTCAGCAGTGTACTTAGTTAATCTGCCTGTTCTGCTCCCCTACTCTGTCTCTGGTGATTCCTCTCACCGCCCATGCACATCTGGCCTGTACCCCAGGTCTATATGCATAAAAAAATAAATCTTTTAAATATATATATATATATATCTTGCAAAATTACTCAGTGGGAAAGTAGCAAATATTTTCCTTTAGACAAATAGTAACTTGAAATATTATTTTCTATTACAACAAACACATGCATATGATGGAATAACCCACAAAATTTGCATAACTGTTTAGGTTAAAACATATGAGCTGCCAAAAAAAAAAAAACCTGAGCAGTCTCCTTGGTCCTAAAGTCTTAGAGTAGCAATATAGCCTGCTGGGCCCTAGAAGAAGTTTTTGGTAGAAAGAAAATATCTGTATCTGGTTAAAATAATCTTTATAAAAATCCTAAATCTTTGCATGAAGACAAAAAAAAAGGCTGAATTCAACAAAGAGCTATTTAATAATACATTTCTATAGATTACTAAAAGGAAATAAGATATCACATAATTTAGGACAAATTTAAAATGATAAAAAGTCTAACTTTAGTTTTCTGTAGACTGCCTTAAAATATTTGTAGATTAATTTTCAGTT